TTAGATGATTCTGCTCTTCATTTGTCTGGGCAGGATAATGAGGAGCAATCAGTGGCAATTGTGTCATGGAAATGGTGGGGAATTTACGGCATTTCATTATCAAATGACCCCAAAATATGAATAATGAATTGTGATGGATTGTATAATGATCACTGTGAAAGGTGGTTGTGATTGTAAGAGAAACTGGAAAGGGCCAGGGATTTAGCAATTGTGCATTTATTTTTTTTTCAGTACAATTTGCACCTGTATAGAATTACCAAAGTCTGACTCATGGAAAATCTTATGGATTTATGGAATTTTTTCATTAGATATCCTACAATTATAGTACAAATATGACAAATGATGGTTGATTACTAAGTGTATATAATTATGAAGAAGAAAGAGAAAGCGTTTAGCAATAGCAGTTGAAATTTAAAGTTGTACCTGGCAGTGAATTGCTTACCTCTGCCTCATAGACATTAGGAATTACAGAATGGAATCTCTATATGAGCATCACTGGAAGTGACTGAACTGTGGCTAACAATGGTTGATGGTGCAGTTATAATTGTGATAAGAGGTGCAGACATTTAGCTTCTAATGACTCCAGCTGTCGTTTTCACAGGTCAAAACTTATCATAACGTTAGACTAAATCATTCAGAAATGGAGGGAAAGAGTCAAGGACTCCAGAATTCAAGTAAAGCTTGTCAAGATGATGATGAAAAGCAAGTTAGAAACGTCCTGGCTTAGAGCCACTGTGAGGTTTAACGCAAGTCGTGCTTAGTGATGAACCCATGTCAGTGTTTGAACGGTTCTCTGGATACTTACAGAAAAAGCGAGTGGTACCTTAGGCTACGTACCATCACTCTTACCTGCTCCCGAGTTCCATGCATTTGTTTCCTGTCCTGGGGGACACTTTAAGTGTGTCCTTTCCCATCCCAGGTGTAGAGCTAAAGTGCTTTCTCTAGATACCACAATCCCTTCAACTGCCTTCCATCCTCAGGTGTGGCTCCATGCAGTACTCCTGGCATCAATGGTAATGCTTTAAATGTTTCCACTAGCTTTGCACCCTTAAGCCAGCTTTCACGTGTCCTTGGAACGCTGCCATTTGAACTGTAGAAGTGGGAGGCGTCTTCAGCAAAGTTTCTCGTCTCTCAGACAAGATAAGAAGTCCAAGATTATAGACTGTGAGAGCTACATGCATGTATATACCCGTAGCTTTCTTGAAACTTAGTGTCTTCATGATCTTTATAACGCATTACATGCACTTGAAATGGTACATAAGCTACAGATTCTACAGTTGTGGCAGACTGATGAATTTGAAGCCAGTTGTGTAATGATATCCATTAAGATAACTCTTCAGCATGTTGAGAGGAGGAGATACCATTCTTTAGCTCTTTGAAGTCAGAAGTAATGAAGGCAGATTTGATTTCTATGACCTACATGTGAATCAGTAAGGACAGTTTGTGTAATGATACTGCCAGGCTGAGTTGGTGCTGATGACACACTAATGGCTGGAATGTCTTTTGAAGCCTCTCACTGCAAGCGAGAAGTAGCCATGAAGAATGGAAGTACTGTAGGTAAATGTGGCTATACTACTGCCTTTTCTGCCGAGTATTTGGGAAATGTAATGGTAAATTTGTAGTGGCATTTGGTAAATAAATTACACACCAATAAAAATATTTGGCTCTCTGAATCTGAATTTTATTTGTAGCTCTTGTTGATATGGTTTTTTCAATGCTGGTTTGACTAATTATGGGGTGCTCTACAACCTATAGGGTATTAAGTTTTGGCCAAATTTGAATTAATTAGATTGGCTACCATTAGAAGATACAGACCGAAACCAGTGGCTAGGCAAGGCATCAAGTTTCAAGGCCTTTCCCTGTCAATTCCTGACCCCAGGGTCAACACTACACAACATTTGAAACATTAGAGTTTTCAGTAGTCATATCGACAACCAATGAGTGAAAATAAAATGTTGCCAAGTATTTCAAATGTTGTTGTCTAGTTTCTGATCCTTCTGTTCAGTGTATCAGTGTAGTCTCCTGTGACCAGTTTGGACTGCAAATTTTCACTTTTTGTAATATCAGGGCAGGAGTTCCTTTTATGAATAACCTACTAGTCTGCTAGACCGAACTGCCAAAGAAAGAAGAAGACTATTAACGAATTTGATATTAAACCATTATCAGATGTAGTAAAACTTAAAACTTACCAGTGGCCTCCCTTCAATTTTGCATCAGGTACATTTGATTTTGAGCGAGAGACAATCAATACCTGAGGCTTGATATCAAAGCCACCAAAACTGCCCGAAGCATCACAGCCAAGATTGGTGAGATAGAAAAACGCTCCCATAGCAATTACCACTGTCTGATTCCCCCATCTCCCCCACCGGTGGCCAAATGGCTTCGCTGCCAGCTGCAGAATTGCTTTGTGAGCGGGTAAATCCTTCTCTCGGCTATCTAATGACCTCCCGCGCAGTTTGCAGACCATAAAGCGGAAAGCTGTGCATTTGGCTGGCTGTTTGTCTTGCCGTGTCCTAAGCCTTTTTGATAACATGTTAGATGTGTGAGGTGTACAGACGGCACTTTTCTACTCACATTAGGGCAAACTGGGAGTACTGAGGGAAACTGTGGGGATGAAAGTGAAGAATACCTGCTGTTTCTCAGCTACTTTTCAAAAGTACCTCAATTGCGGGAAGACCAAGTAAACTTGTATTTCCCTGATGTTGCTTTGTTGACATTACGAAGTCAAAAGTCCAGTGCCAGTAACTGTTGGTGTTATGTATAATTTTTTGGCACTATTTGCAATAATACAGATAATATTTTGCCCAACTACTCCATTAAAGACACCTGGAGCCTGAGATTGCTTAAAATCCTTTTAGCTTTCTGGGCCAGTGGAAAGAATTGTTTCTTTAGAAGTTTTCATTGATTGAGCCCTGGTAAAGCTATATACCTGGGGATATAGAGTTGCAATTGTGATTTCAAACTCAGATTTAGGTCACTGTAACATCAGTCGTCTAGCCATATAGGCTTGACTGAAATTACCTCTCAGTAAAGTAAGTGAAAGGATATCTGTGTCATCAGATAAGTTTTAACATGTAAATGGCAGGTTGATGTGATAGTGAGGTTTATCTTTGGCCTCATCTGTGGAGCTTTCTGACAAGTTGACATGAAGATCAGTATATTTCTCATTAAAAGATGTTCAAGATGTTAATTTGCCTGAAAAAAAATTTGTTCAAGAAGCACTACTTCAATTAGAAATACTGTCAACTAACCCAGGGATTCTAGATCATATTTTAGGTAAATTTTTAATCATGACAAACTGTGAACATGTGATAATGTAACAATAACTTAGTAATTAGTAATCAACAACTTATTAAGTAATTATGTATGAGATTTTGTATTTCTCCCATACCAAGGTTCACCTTTGAAACAGCTACACATTAGTCCCTTGGCTGTATGTAGGCCTGAGCCAAAGAAATAAATATTTTATGAAATAAAAACACATTGAAATCCGTAGGATAGACATGTAGTTACTAGTTGTAAGCTATGGTTAACTGTCCAGGCGATTTTCCCTTGTTCATGAAGCCTGTATAATCTTACATTGCACATGTACTTCCCTTTCTAAGTTGACCCTATTCTAATCCCCGATGCTCCTACTCGTGAGGTTGTATATTATTGATGAGTATTAAGTAGTTTTCCGCTGACCCAAAGGCTGTTATGAGCTGAGTTATGTCCATCTTGATGTAACATGGCAGGTACAGAAGTGGCCCTGTACATGCTTACAGGACATTTCACACATTTACAGGCAATCTGCCAATGTATTGATCTGTTACTAATGCCTTACACAGTTTATCTAAACCATCAATAGTAGCTAATATCAGCTGCCCAGTAGGGCAACAGACTGGTACAAAATGTAGGTAGAATGGTTGGTAGAGACAGTATTCCCTTTGCAGTTGGAGGTCGTAGGTTCAAATTCCTATAATTTGATACCAAAAACTGTACATACCGTTGCTTTCTGTGCTTGCTAAGCACTCAGCACCTATTAGAAACAGTAGAACACACACCACAGTACTGTCCCAAACTACATGTATGGAGATGTGCACCAATCTCCAGAACAGTAAGGGCCACACATAAATTAGACTATATGGACAGCATCTGCTAGAGAGCCATATAATGATATATGATAAGAAAATGTGATTCAGATGCTTTATGATGATTTGCACTTTCTGAGGTTCAGAAATTGTGTTCACATCAATTAAATCCTAGCTCAAATGACTGATTTGTCTTCATTTTTGTTTAAATCCAGGGAGTTGTGATGTTGCTTTATTTGGTATTCATGTCAGACTTCTACACAGCAAATCTGTTGCATCAAATCATGGAATTAATCCTCAACTTTCGAGTGGAATATTTGGAATGTGCATATATGCAGTGGTTAATTGCTGCGTAGTTCAAGTTTGATGGTGCAATTTTCCAAAGTAATCAGGCTTCATCCACAAATGGCAACACTAAGTCGGCCTGCTCTCAACAAGCACTGACTGATTCCCAGAGTTGACAGTCTGCACATTTGATGAATAATCTTAATTCCCTTTCTGCGGAGCTTTATTCCTCGTGCCCTTTTGTACATGTATATCGTTATGTATATATGCATGTCAACTATCACAAGAAGAACAGCATCAATTTGTATTTTCTTGCTAATACTACAGTGAGACATATCCGAACTCCCCGAACTTAAGTTGAAGAGTCAGTCATGTAAGATTAACAGTTAGTAGAATATTCATCAGTCAGTGACTTGTTTTGAAAGGTACATGTAGAAACACATACCTCCAAATTTTTGCTGTCTACTGTACATCTTGATCACGGAGTGACCTAGTCTCGCGAGAACACAAGACTCTAAGGTTGAGACTTCGCAGTGCAGGTCTCCTGGCCTCCCCGCCGTACAGTTCAGACTTTTAAGTGTGTAAAACAAAGTGTGTAAGACTGCAAATAAAGCAATTCTTCTTTCTTGTTCCCTTCCCCTGCAGATGATGAAGTTTGCGTGGGACAACTACGTGCAATACGCCTGGGGTCAGAACGAGCTGAAGCCCATCTCCAGACGGGGTCACTCCGCCAGCATCTTCGGGAACTCTGCGATGGGTGCCACGATCGTGGATGGGCTGGACACGCTGTACGTCATGGGGCTCATGGATGAGTACAAGAAGGGCCGCGACTGGATCGCAACCAACCTCAAAATGGAGGCGGTGAGTCTAAGTCTCTTCTTCTTATGCTTGTTGTACAATGGTTTTGTTTCGTTGTGAGAAAGCAAGACATTGTGTTCGTACAGTATTTACAGTTACAATGCTTGAAGGGCTGGGACTGGATTGCAACCAACCTCAAAATGGAGGTGGTGTGACTCATAAGGACTCTTGTGTTCTTATGCATGTTGTTTTGATTCAATTTCAGAAAGAAAGACAGGATGTAGGAGTTTTCTTTATCACAGCCAATTCTCTCACCTAAAGTGTTGACGTTTCAGTGCTGTCTATCAGACACCTTCCTCAGAGCTTCTGACTGGAGTTCTGCTTCTTGCTGCTATATATAGCTGATGTAGGTGGCACTTTAGGTGACAGAATTGGTTTGTGTAAAAGAAAACTTCTGTATCCTACAAACGAATGAATGAAACCAATGTGATGAGACTAGTTTTGGCAGAAAGAAGGACAAGAGTGGTAGTTCTGCCTTTATTTGATCTTGAGGAACACATTTAGCTTAACAGCTGCATTCCATGCAGGTCAAGGGGTCAAACAATTTGGAATATACAGAAATCATGGCAGCACAATTACAATGCATGACAATTGGAAACAGAAACCAAACCCAGCTGTAATTTCCTCATTATAGAGCTTGCATTTCTGTATGTCATAGCATCTTTACTCCCTTCATAACCCAGATTCAGTACCATGGACAGAAACACTGGTGGCGCTGTCCGAGTACTGAAACTTTTACTGCTGTTGCTGTTGTCATATATCCTGATTATGACCTATTGGCAATTATAGCAAGTACTGAAAGCAGCCAGCAGTTAATCTATTTATACTACGCTCCTTTCCATAAGTTACAAGAGAAGTGTGGATGTTTTAATACTGATATTTATGTGTTTTCATTACTTTTACATGTGCTGAAGAATATGTATATATACAGTTAATGACAGCCCTTTCACTTACTGAGAGTTAAGATGGTTGAGTTATGGTTTAGTCCTGCCGTGTTTTAGCTGCTGGTCAATACCAGAGCCACAAATTGCTGGTGATGTGTGACTCCTGCCAGGTTTTAAACACTTTCCCATCAACTGTGCTGACAATTACCGTACAGCACGGCTCTGTGTGGGTGTGAGTCAGCATTTAGCGACAACAGATTCAAACGGCTGTGAGAAATGTTCAACAGAATTATGCTTTTCGACAGGTTATTTAACTTTTTTTAAGGAATAAAAATAGTGCCATGGCCAGATTTTGATGTGGTCATGCTATTCTTTTTCGTCTCAGACATTTTCTAGGAAAACATGATAGAATTCAGGGAACAGTTAGTACCAGTACCAAGTGAAGAGGATTTAGGTAGAAACTCCTTGCTGGTAATTCATATTTGCACTAGTAACTTTCAAGAATACTAAACAAACATAACCTTACGAATGCAAGACACATAGTACATGACATGATGTACATGAGTCCAAAAACTCAACTAAAAAAACTGTTGATATTTTCTGCTTTTAGTCAAAACTACAGTACTACTAGCTTCATCTGTCATTCTGTTTCATCTCCCTGGCTAATATACATTGGGCAGTTGAAAAACAGAGATGTTGGGGCTGCCCTTGCCTGAGGCTGAAGTATAGGAAACGAGAATTGACTGGTAATGATTTTTACATCCACTACATGAAAGACGACAGCAGGTGGCGATGTCACAGAACTAAGACCAGAGCTGGGTGACTAATGATCAGCGTTTTCAGTGCCTGATTGGTTAGAGGACAGGGAATTTAAAAGGCACTGAAAGTGTCATTGATCGTTATCTTCTTGTGGGATCAGGAATTAAGAATCAAGTATGTCCTAAGGCTGTAGAATGTAGCTCAAGTTTTTTTCCTGTGATGATTTTTTGTCCGTTACAAACTTGCCATGTCATTGGAACACCTTATGTTTGAGTAATGACCATGGAGCTCAGAAGTAGCCTGGACAAAAGGCCACCTCTTGGGAAGACAACAAAAGACAGACCATCTCTATAGAAAAGTGGGCTTTGAAGCATTGAAATCTGCATTGATCAGTGTCTTATAGAGGGGCATTTATGAGTTATGCTGGCATTGAACTTGCTAAAGGTTGACCGGTGTTCAGCATGCACGGCGCCTGGTTGGTTATCTGTACAGGACATCTCCTGAAGACATCAGTTTCCAGATTGACCTCTGTTGGCGGCAATATCCATGAGTTTGCATCTAAATGGAACCCAATGGATTATTAGCCCTTCAATCAATGACACATACTAGTGGGACTAGTGGGTCATTTAGGCTAGAAATTGGTGTAAGTGATGAAATCTGAAAAGACCATCGTCAACATTCCTCAATCAATGCACAGAGCTCAGTCCTCACAAGCAGGCCAATTCTGATCAGAATAAACTGTTTTAGATTCTTAACACACAACCAACAATTAACATGCACTGGTGATGTTGTTAAGGATTGGAAGGACTGTAAGGGATGAATTGTAAAACAGTCATCACTCTTATCATCAGTGTTCGGAGATTGATCCTGAAGACGATTATCTACGTGGCCACTCAATCAGAGGAAAGTCACGCACTGTTTCACATTCACTCAATACTATTTGTTACATAGTAAGTAATGTGTGCATGTAGGAGCCTGTTATCCTTGCTTGATTGGAAGGAGTCAGTGAGGAAAAATTTCTCTCCAAAAATAGACCATGTTTTAGATTGTCTCAAGTTGCAGTCAATAACATGATACATGTATATGCATGTACATGATCTGTCATCCATGATTTGAAAAAGAATGAGGAAAAATTCTTAGAAATATCACAAGGTCCTTTTTCTTGATCAACAGTCTGAGCTTGATCCAGAGCCAGGATATGTATTGACATTTCCCCCCAATCAGAATATAGGCGTGCCCTGCCTTTTGATTCCCTCCATATTACCGGCAATCAATGACGTGCACAAGTAGGACCCTGTCATCAATAATAGGACACAGAATAGGGAACAGACCGTCCTGCTTTTGATCAACGTTGGGAGATTCATTCTTCAGACAAATTTGGCTGATAAGCAGGTAGGGCTCTCTTTGTGGAAGATAAGAGTGATGCATCAATGTCATGATCGTAGACCGGAACCTCCTTGTATAAGATTCCCAAGGTATGATTTTTTGATAACCTATATGTTCGGCTCTGATTCACAACTGTGTGGGAAATGGACTTTATATATAATATAAGCCATTGGAATTAGAATTGACTGGAAAAAACTTACAGTAGCCTGTTTCTAGCAGCTGACAGAAGAATAAGAACTTCTTAATTGTCTTCACTTATTTGCATATCAATCAATAGTTTGTGCTTATAAACCTGCATTTCTCTTCTGGTCTCTCAGTCACTGACGAAAGCTAGTTGATACTAGCTGAGATGTCTGACCGTTTCCAACATCATATCCAGTTGCTTGAGTGACTGCTTTTGATGCATTATATAAAGTTAAGAAACTTTATATAATGCATCAAAAGCTGGTACATTGTAGAATCAGCCTTTAGCATAACATACCAGTGGTCACAGGGCAGTGTCTGGTTATATAACATCAAACAACTTCTCACATCCAACCTTCAAAGTTTGTTCAGACTTTAATTAAGAGCGAGAGCTCTAGACTAGACTGGTGTATTTGCATCTCCACCCTGACAGAACATTCCCTGGCACTCCCTGTCGTAGATTCTCTCCATACTTAAAGTGCCGCTAACTCCAGCACTTTCCCGAAGAAGCATTTCTGTCAGACTGATGTCACGGATCAGTGCGTGTATATCAGCACGGCCAAACAGAAATTCATGCGGCTTTATCGTCTTTAAGATCTGTCACTTGCTGTGAAAGCAATTTCAGCGATGGGACGGCAAGGCTTTCAAGAAGATTGGAAAGTTGAAAGGCCGTGCAAATAAAGCGGGGCAAAATCAGGCTTGCCTTACCTTCCATTTTCTTCCAGTCTGAAAGGATTTTCTTTATTCCCTGCAAGGCTTTCTTGTCAAAAATAGATGTAGTGAGCATATATTCCACAATCTGAGTTCTACTTCTTGTTTGCACCTGAGTTTAAAACAGCTACATGCACATGCCTATCATGAATACAGATAGCTGTGCCTTGTATTGGAAGTACTGTACATGTACTTGTAGTATTATACTATGTAGCTGTAAAAGAAGAAATTGAATTGAAATGCTTTATTGTGGAACAAGGCTACTGTTCAAGATTAGTTTGAAATGCATTACTTTAGCGAAGCAATTTTCTGTTGCCAAAAAAAGATCTGGAGTTTTCACTACTTGCACAGTTAACTTGTGGCTAGATGAAAGGGAACAATTTCAAAGTATGGCAGTATAACGAAGGTTTAGGCTGATCATGATGTAATTTTGGTATCTAAGTTTGGTCAGGAGACTTTATTACCATAGTTATTATGGTGCACAATTGATTGAATAAACTGTTTTTGTCATATGTTGCCAAGTTAACAACCTGTGTCCATAATCAGGTTGCTCAGTGTGATATTCGTCAGCAGATTGCTACTCTAATTAAGGATTTTTAACAAAAAATTACATTTTTCTCTCACCAATGGACACAGATATACATGGACTGACTAAATAATGCATACTTATAAAGCAGACTGTCCACTGGTCAGTACTTCATGATGCCCTGGACAGTAAGAGATTGTGTTATACAGGCACACAGATTCAATGGTTTCAAATTTGCTTAGTGGTGCATGTACTTTATAACATAGTGCAGATTTAAATCTTGGCACCTTTAGTAGCTTTACTATCCCCACAGCGATCCTGATTGCCCAAACTCATGATCTTGCTAAGATACAGAAATGGACCATCTATATTACAATCTGGCACTGTGACAAGAAACAGAACAATCTAGTTGCACACTGGAGAGCTAGCCAAGTCACTGCTTCAATCACACACAGTCTTTAGACAACTCTTACAGACTCCTGAGTACTGTCAGTAGCCTCTCAAATTGCAGCAGTGAGTTAACCATGCTTTAAACACAAATGTCATATACATCC